GGTCCAGTTGTGAGGATTTTTGTTTTCTTTATATTGAGACGTAATCCATACTGCAGACTGTATTCTTCAACCTTCATCAGTAGGTGCCTTAAGTCATCCATTAGATGACTGCTATGGCCTCTACCTCTCAATAGTCTGTGCTTTTGTTAGGGCTGAAGGGAGCTGTCTGATATTTATAACACTAGTCAGATATTTAAGTTGTGGCATTGCTCTACTTTCTGTGTACTCTTAATTGGATAGGTCTATGTTGTAGTGCCTAAGGCATTTGACTGCTAATTAGAAGGCTGGCGGTTCAAACCCACCAGCTGCTCCTCGAAAGGAAGATTGGGCAATCTACCTCTGTAGAGATAATGTCTCAGAAACCCAAGGAGGGGTCACTATGAGTCGAATTAACTAGACAGCAGTGGGTTTGGTTTTTTGGTTTTGTAAGTAAGACAGGGTGCTTGATAGCACTGTGGTTAAAGCTCTCAGCTGCTAACTGAAAGGTCGGTAGTTTGAATCCATCAGCTGCTCAATGGAAAAAAGATTTGGCAGTCTGATTCCATAAAGATTTACAGCCTATGAAACCCGATGGGGCAGTTCTACTCTGCCCTACAGGGTTGCAATGACCCAGAATCGACTCAATGGCAGTGGGTTTTGGGGTTTGGTTTTATGAGTGAGAAATACAATGGGATTTTATTGATTCAGCTGTAGAAACAGAAGGAGGATTATCTGACCCCAAAGTACCTCCTCTTTACCCTATTTTGTAATGCTATCATCATGTTTAAGTTCAGTGTCCAAGTTCAAACTGACATTTAAGTTCAGTGAAGGTTTATTGAACCCCAAACTCCTATGCAGAGTCCTTTATTTCACTGCTACTGGATTAAAAAAAAAAGGAGATCTGGTGGCCTAGTGGCTAAGGCTTTGGCTGCTAACCAGAAGGTTAGCAGTTCAAACCCACCAGCTGCTCCATGGGAGAAAGATGAGCCAGCTAGTCTGCTTCCATAAAGATTTACAGTCTTGGAAACCCTTTGGTGGTTACTATGAGTCAGCGTTGACTTGATGATGGTGGTTTGTTTTTGGTTTGGATTAAAAATCACATTAGAAAAGGGAGAGTATTGAGACCACCTTCTGGTCTGAGAATGGAGAAGTTTCTATTGTCCGTGCAGCAAAGAAACCAAGCTAAGAAAATAAGCCCTGGTTTCCATGTCTAGGTTCTAGAAGAAAGAGGAAACCAGGTAATGAGTCCAAAAGATATTCCTATGCTCTCTCTTTTCTTTCAATTCCCCTTTCTGTTTGATTTCCATGGGAATTTGTGTCTGGGGAAAAGCTAGGAAGCATCAGGCATATGTTTGTTGCTTGTCCTCTTGTTTCATTATGCCATAGAGAGATGTAGAAAATAGAGGAAAATGTGAGATTTATGCTGCTTTTTGAAGTTCAGATTAAATTCTGGAGGAATTTAATCCTTTCTGACAGGAGTTTTTGAGAGAAAAATAAGGAAAGGGCTCATGTGAAGATCATCCAGCCAGGATGTGTTACTCTATGCGCATGTTTCCAAGTGTCCTTTTCTTTCTTTGCTGGGCACCAGATTGACATTCTGTGCTCATGCCAGTCTGCTAATAGCTATATTGTGTCATTTGTTTCCCTTGCAGAGAGCATCAAAGAAGACCTCAAAGTTGGGGGGGAAAAATGACCTTTCATGGAATACCTCCTGCTACGTGTTTTTGCCTTGCTAAGCTCCAGTAACTGGCCCTGGGTCTACAGAAAGTCAACTGAACACCAGATTCCTCATCATGCATCAGCTATTCAGACTGGTTTTGGGACAGAAAGATCTTTCACGAGCCGGGGATCTATTCTCTTTAGATGACTCTGAGATTGAAGACAGCCTGACAGAAGCTTTGGAGCAAATTAAAATAATTAGCTCATCTTCAGTAAGTAAATGGTTTTAGACTAGAACCCTGAAATGATCTATCCTACAGCCAAATAAGGAAGGAGTTCTGATGGTATAGTAGTTAAAGCATTAGACTGCTCATCAAAAAGGGTTGACAGTTGGAACCCACCAGCCACTCCACAGGAGGAAGATCAAATAGTCTGCCTCAGTAAACATTTACAGCCTTGGAAACCCTATAGGGCAGTTCTACTCTGCACTAAAGAGTCGCCACAGACAAATGATTGTTTATGTTTGGAAGAAAGGATATTCCTTTGCAGGGGGAAGGGGAGGACCAATAATATTCATCTCTCTTCACGCTGCTCTTTGGTTTAGTTTGTGTCTAGGTGATAGTACCAGGGAGGCCATTGAGTTAGGGATTAGTCAAGCTGCCATATGCCCACTAAAGGAGACCAAAACTCTGGGACTTGTAGGTCCAAGTGGAATGCATATAGTAGGATTATCTAAGGGCTCCTTCTACACTTGAAATGACATGGAGAGGAGAGGGAGCAAATCCAGGAAGAAGCAGGCCTGCCAAGCCGCACAGCAGCATCAGTAAACAAAGCTGGATATGCGGTGGAGGCTGAATAATGCAAGAAGGCAGGATGACGCCTCCCGCTATGCAGGTAATATTAGACAAGGACAAAAACGGATCTGCTGCCAGAAGTGACAGTTGCCCAGGACTTGATAAGACTGATTCTGCTTACTTCTATACTGTCTCTGTTTTTTTTTTTTTTTTTTGTCTTTTCTTTGCTCCCTTTTCTACACATGTACCTATACCCATTTAGTACAATCTACTTATTAGCCCCCTGTCTGTGATCAGATTGATTTAAAGCTTCTATCAACCCTCCCATTCCTTTGCTGCTTCTCAAAGTCAAAGTTATTTATTCTAAAAGCACTTCCTAAAAGAGGTGGCTGTGGACTGTCCAGTGTGATTTGACATTGACCTTTTTGGTCATGCTTGGATCTTCCATGAGATTGATCCTTCTTCAATGCCTACTCTCGCATCCTTCCAGCTCAACAGTGCTTGCCAAAGCTTGGCACAAACATCCACTGCGCAAAGAGGTGGTAATTTAAAATACTGAACCAGCAAATGTGTACATATTTCAGAGGTAACAGCTCCCTTCTGTGTTATAATGAAGAGATGTTTAAAAGGTGTACTGGCAACCAGGGTGGTTTTCTCCTCAAGTCTGTCAGCATGTTCTCCTGCTGGCTGCTATTAACATGTCAAATTCTCCCAGTGACCATGAAGTCACTGCTCAAACACTCTTCTTTACTCAGGTAATGTCTTTGACAGCAATTATGTTTCCACATTTTTCCAGAACATTAATCAACTTATGACTCAAAACACATAGTGTTCCTGGGACATTTCCACTTTCTGGATAGGACTTGTGTGCTGTTTCCAGCAGCCCCTTTCATCAAACTCCCCTGGAAATAAATGGGCTGAATATGCCACTGATTTTCCTCTCCCTGGGAGCTCTGGTAGCATGGTGCCTAAGGCACTTGACTGCTAATCAGAAAGCTAGCGGTTCAAACCCACCAGCCACTCCTCGGAAGGAAGGTTGGGCAATCTACTTCCGTAGTGATACCACCTTGGAAATCCAAGGAGGGGTCGCTATGAGTCAAGTCAATGGCACATAACAACAACAACAACAACAATGGAATCAGAAATTACATGTACGTTCCCTAAAGCTTATTTCCACTAGAGGTCACTAGTGATCAGTGATGTCTTCAGTTTCCTCAGTCAATTGCTTTGTCTCACTGATAATCAAATTCAGAATTTTAGCAGTAATGAGATGCTGTGTTTTTTTCCTGTATATTTAATGTTCCTGGCAGTAGTGATGAATTTATGTCCACACTGGTTAACTATTAAGGTTGGCGGTTACCTTGTCATCATGAGCATTGTCCATCCTCTAAGCTCAGCATCCTACCAAACTTACAGATCTGAGAGCCAGGAGTTCGCCTGTCTTCTTCATCTACACACTTCTATCGCATACCTTATTTTCCATTTCCCTATGGTCTGTTACCATAGCACAGAGTCCCAAAAATTCACAGCCATCAAGTCAAATCCAACTCATAACAACCCCCATTGGATTTCCAAGGCTATCAATCTTTATAGAACCATCTTTTTTTTTTTTTGTAAATCTTTATAGAATCATCTTTCTCCTGCAGAGCAGCTGATGGGTTTGAACAACCAACCTTTGGGTTAGCAGCCACATGCCTTAACCACTACGCCACTAGAGCTCCTTCATGGCACAGAGTTGTTGTTGTTGTTGTTTTGTGCCGTCAAGTTGGACCCAATTCATAGCGACCCCCCCTTGGGTTTCCTAGGCAGTATCACTACAGAAGTAGATTGCCTATCTTCCTTCTGAGGAGTGGCTGGTGGGTTTGAACCGCCAGCCTTCTGGTTAACAGTCAAGTGCGTTAGCCACTATGCTACCAGAGCTCCAAGGCACAGAGTAGATAGGTGCAAAATACAGTGAATCCTGTGAGAGCTGGAATGCGAAGGACTGCCTTGTTTATCTGGGTCTCAGAAGTTTTCCAACTTTGACAGGATGCAGTCTTACCACTTTTCTATCAGTCATTTTATAGGAAAATACCTGTTTTCCTTCTCTGACAGCTTCTGGCTTTCAGAAGTTTTACTGTAAAAAAAAAAAATAGAGGATTTGTATAGAGAAATCCAACTTTTTATTGTGATTTGGGTAAAATTTACAGAGCAAATTCATTTTCCATTCAACAGTTCATGCACATTTTGTTCCATGACATTATATGAAATCTCCACAATGCAACTCTCTTTCCACTTCCTCCCTACTGTTACCTTTTCTCTGTGTCTTTCTTTCTTGTATATTCCTGCTTTCTGCCTGCTGTCCTTCTAATCGCTTGAGGATGATTATTCTAATGAGTTCTGTTCCTGGTGTAATTGTTCACCTTGTAGACCTATTATTTGGCTGAATGTTAAGCCATGGGAGTGAGTTCAATTTCAGGCCTAAAGGGTGATTAGGGGTCATAGTTTTGAGGGTTTCATCAGTATCAGACCAGTAAGCTTTTTTATTTTTTATGTGTTTGAGTTTTGTTCCTCACTTTTCTCCCACTTTACTGAAGATCTCCAATTTTGATCCCTTTCTGAGTGGTTAAGGATCTCTGGTAGCTCAGTGCCTAAAGCATTTGACTGCTAACCAGAAGGTTGCCTGTTCAAACCCACCAGCTGCTCCGTGGAAGGAAGATGGGGCAATTTACTGCCCCAGAAACCCAGAGGGGGTTGTTATGAGTCAGAATCAACTTGATGGCAGTGAGTTTGGTTTAGTTTTTGGTCTGAGTTGTTGGCAGTGGTAGTCAGGTCAACAACTTTTGGTATATTGCCTTTTCCTTCGCCCAAATAATTACATGTCTCTTACCTAGGTAGCAATTTTCCGTCCTCTCTCCTCCCATCCCTGGGAACCAACTTTTCTGGATACTTAGTAGTGATACTGCCTTGGAAACCCAAGGAGGGGTCGCTATGAGTTGGGTCCGACTCAATGGCACATAACAACAACAACAAACCAATAAAGTATAAATAAGAGGACAAAAAACACACACTGCATAAACACACAGGAACATCACCAGAAAGAGAAAAAGAAAAAAAAAGGGAATAGCAATAAATGAGATGAAACATTTAAAGAAATACTTAAAAAAGACAAAAAAAAAAGGGGGGGGGCGACTCTACAGTATCTGGGAAGTGGGAAATAGGAAAAAAGAGCTAGAGTAAGAGAATAATGAAGAAACAAATGGGAAAAATGCAAAAAGGAAAACAAGGGATGGGAAGAACCACAATAAAGATAAAAGAATGGGAATCAGGAAAAAGAAAGAGAAAAAAAAAAGCCCACAATTAGACCTTGGGAAGGGAAAAGAAAGAATAAAAATGAAAAGAGGAAGAAGAAAGAATTTAAAAACAAACAAAACAAAACAAACAAACAAAAAAACAAACAGGTTGGGTGGGTGGTATGGCAGGTCACCCTGGCACCGTCAGAGCACACAGGCTAGGATGGAACTCCTGCTGGCCCAGGAGATGGGGGCAAGTGAGGGATGGCTGCGCTTATGTTCACCAAGACGGTGTGTGGTATAAGACTAACAAGGGGAATATCTCAGTCTTCCAGTCGTCAGCTTCCAGTATGCCCATGCTGTCCTTGGCAAGCAGAGCCTATTCTTGTTCTTGTTGTTAGGTGCCATCGAGTCAGCTCCGACTTATAGTGACCCTGCATACAACAGAACAAAACACTGCCTGGTCCTGTGCCAGCCTCACAATTCTTGCTATACCTGAGCCCCTTGTAGCAACCACTGATGTCAATCCATCTTTTTTGAAGGTCTTCCCCTTCTTCACTGACCCTCTATTTTACCAAGCATGATATCCTTCTCCAGGGAATGGTCCCTTCTGAAAACACGACCAAAGTAAGTCAGACAAAGTGTGGCCATTCTTGCTTCCAAGTAGCATTCTGGCTGCACTTCCTCCAGGACAGATTTGTTCATTCTTTTGGCAGTCCATTGGACTTTCAGCATTCTTCGCCAGCACCACAACTCAAAAGCATCAACTCTTCTTCAGTGTTCCTTGTTCATTGTCCAGCTCTCACATCCATAGGAGGAAATTGAAAATATCATGGCTTGGGTTAGGTCCACCTTACTCTTCAAGGAGACATCTTTGCTCTTCAGCACTTTAAACAGGTCTTTTGCAGCAGATTTGCCCAATGCTATATGTCACCTGATGTCTTGACTGCTGCTTCCATTGGTGTTAATTGTGGAGCCAAGTAATATCAAATCTTTAACAACTTCAATCTTTTCTCCATTTATTGTGATGCTGCTTATTGGCCCTGTTTTGAGGGCTTTCATTTTCTTTATGTTGAAATGTAATCCATATTACACACTGAAGTCTTTAATCTTCACTAGTAAGTTCTTTAAGTCATCCTTACATTCAGTAAGCAAAGCTGTGTTGTCTGTGTAGTGCAGGTTGTTAATGAGTCTTCCTTCAATCCC